TGTGACCCCAAATATAACAATTCCAGCAAAAGTTGGAAGGTGGACAATTGACTGTACATGGATGGTAAATGTAACATTGTTAAATATGCTAATTAAAAATAATAAATGGATTTTTTGCTCACAAAATATAAACCGGGGAAAAACAATGGGTCTGTTTACAATTACAACATTTGCAGCAGAAATATAAATTCATTATTTAATCAGATATCAGTTTATGTAGCGGTATATACAAAACTTGTTTTTACACAATATATACAGACATTACCACCAATTCAATACAACCAGGGAGGTTCTGCGGTTGGGTACAATTGTGATCGACAGCCTGTTTATGACACGAGTCATGAAAGAAGTAAAACCAGCTGTTTAATTTTGTTTGTGTTCACATTCGGTATTGATGAACTACATTGTAATGTACGTGCATGGCTTGTCGATTACGTACTCCATTGATGTACATACCGTGTTTTAATGAGTATGAGTTTATCTATTCAGGCGCTTGCAAGCTGGGTAAAATTTACAATGTTCTATTTTGGTTATACCAAACAAGGGTTGAAATACTATGGTGCACACTGCACTATGCACATAGATTATTAGCTAGTGCTAGTAAACTCAAAATATAATGTGCACGCTGTGCATGAAGAAATTAACACAACATTTTCTCATTATATTTACTAATCCTAAATTAAGTTCAACCAACATTGTAAGACGACTCGTGATCGCATCAATCGAGAACCCGTAAATTTTATTTCAACTTTAAAAGTGGTGCATTTCACAACAAGTTAGTGCAGGTAAATTTCAAATTCAACATGCGCACTATGCATGCTGGGAAAAAAATTCTATTTCTATCCCTACCAATCTAGTGTAAACCAATTTGGTGATATCAACTTTTTGTGGCAATTTTTTGGTACAAAAATGGTTTGGAGTCATTGACACATCACGACCTATGACCCCATCACTGATAGAAAGTTTTACCATTTTCATTAACCTTTTCACCACCAGATTTTTTTGCCCAAATTTGTATACACTTTTTTTCTTATATTCTTCAATATTTCTGGAAATGAATCCTTATTTTGGAGCCAAGAGACAAAATTTGAGTCAATTTTCAGTTTTAAAATTTGTCTGTTTTTATCTCAATCTTCTGAAGGTTAGTGCAGACTATAAACAGGACTATTTTATGAATTTGTGATAAAAAGAGGGAACTGGTGGTAAAAAGGTTAACTCACGGAATTCATGAATACTTTACAGTGGTTTACAGTATATCCTTGCTCTAGACTATTCCTTCTTATTTAAATTGTATTTTCAATATACTTTCGTGAAAAGTAAATATTTATCTTTTTGTCACTGAAACCAGCATTTCGTTTCACATTGTGTTTATCTGGGATCTAATGGTTTCAGGGAACTTCATGTGATAGGAAATTTTTGTCATAACATGCTAATTTGTTTTGAATGCAACTTCATATAGATCTCTTGAACAGCATTCATTAAAACAAAATATCCATCAGTCGGCCATTTTGAATTTGATCTAAAAAAACAAAATGGCAGGTACCAAGGTACTATAATAAACAGAATTTGTTTATGCATAACTGAGATCCAGAATGGTGAAAACGCTTGATTTTGATAATGTTTTAGCTTTAAAATTGATGCTATTCAGCTATCTAAACATTTTTTCCACGTTGAACCCTAATCGTGTATTTTGATAATTACCAGTACTAAGTTTGAATGTAATTCTTTCAAACACAACAGCTTTCTGGTTCTGGAAGGACAGAAATGCTTGAATTTGATAAATTATTAGAGTTAAAAATGGCCGCTACATTTAGAATGATACTATTTACTATTTCATGAACTCTTGTTTTAATTTTTCGTCAAATTATTAAAATAACCGTGATTTACAATTTCACATTGTCGTGAATTCAGAGATTAAATGTAGTGTGATGCCTATATGCAAATCAATATATAACACGAAGCAGAAGTGAAATAAATAAATAAATAATGAATGAATGAATGAATGAATGAATGAATGAATGAATGAATGAATGAATGAATAGTGTCTTGTCATATTGAATTCAAAAATAGGATTTTTATTTTTATTTACAATTTTTGTTAACAAAATGATGAGGACAGGGCATGCTGGTCCAGTCAGTGTTTAACATAAGCCTTTACAAATAAAATGTTCAAAATACAAGATGCCAGGACATTTATTAGCTGACAAATTCACATATAGAAGTTTACCGCTACGAGGCTAAAAACAGGTCGTGTTGCTGCCCTCAAGTGGCCATTGTCTTCAAGTTCATTCATAGGGAGATGCAATGTTACAAGGGGATGAATACGTTTAAAGGACATTTATAAATATGTATGAAAAATTCATCTTCAAATCCAAAGATGCTTTTATTGGATATAGAAATCATTTGCCCATTACCCATAAGTCTTTGCAAAGTTTCTTCAAACATTAGCCGATTTACTGCCATGAATGCAAAA